ACGATTAGACTCGCCGCGCGCCGCCGCGTCGCGTCGCGCCGTGCCGCGTGGCTGGCACCCTTGCCGGCGAGAAGCTTAATTCGGTGGAATTTAATATATTCGCGCGCGAGCGCCCGTGACTCAGACGCAAAATTAATGAAGTAACGCAGACAAAACGCAATAAAGAATGAAAATCGAATGAGAATCGTGATTAACCGTCGGACGTTTTTCATCCGCGGCGATTAAATGCACTTCTTGCTCGCGTTAATAATTATCGCCGCGTTCATTAAAATCCGGCATAATTACTTCCGACAGACTCCAACGGATATAATCGCGTTTTGATATTGTAGTTATAACAAGCACAACTTTTGGGACACAAGTAAATAATTAAATAATTAAATGTTCAAGCTGCTCGCTTATTTTATCGCGCAATTAATAACACGTGTACAAAAAAAAAGAAAATAAAAGCCATTCTCATGAAATTAAAATTGTGATTAATATCACGAGATTAAATATTCTTCCGCGCGAATTATTTGGCTCGTTATCTCACTCATATCCGTCAATGGATTTTTACGAACACATAATTAATATTTACAGAGGAAAACATGACTTTAAGTCATAGGCTAATATCTTCATTAGAAACAAGTTCTCGTATACCTCCGTTCTCCGTGCTGAAAATGTTTTGCAGCGCAACTAGCGCGCCGCAATGTGAAAGTTCTTAAGGAAGGCGGCGTTTGTAACGATCAGAAAGGACAAGATAATTAGATACCGTCATAAAATTGCTTTGCGAAACATTAAAGTACGTTCATTCAAGTCAGCACGGTAATTTTGTGTAGACAGATTATTTCGCCAGAATGGCTTTACTCTTGGCGTAAAACTAACCCTACTGAGTTTCGAGAATTGGGTTTTGTCGAAAATCAGCAGAAAACATTATAATTTTTAACATTACAAACATGAAAGAAACAGATGTACGTTTAAGTAATCTCTCTCAACTGGAAGATAAAAAAATTATTGTATAAGTACGAAAGTTTTATGCTTAGATTTTATAAAGGTGAGTAAAACTCATTCATTTAGTCAATTAATTTTGAAATAAAAGCTCAGCAGCTTTATAATATATTTTTACTTAAAAATCTAAAGAACATTAAAAACAATTACGTTAATTAAAAGCACTTTTGTGAGCAAGTTTTACTGTTACGATAATAACGGATTAATGACGTAATTGACTATCTATGCTGCTCGATTCGTTCGCCAAGTAAGTAAAGTAAAAATGCACCTTATACAAAATTCGTTCGTGTTGGGTATCAGCTCCCACATATTTACGTCTGACACGCTGAATTTCGTGAAAAAGCCGAGCTGCCGCAACCAACAGGCAACCGCAATTGCGGGACTAACGGCAACGATCGCGGCGTTCAGTTAACGATCTTACAACAGCACTGGTTGTGCCTTGAATTTCAAATGGACGGCCACGCGCGAGCCAGTGGCAATACTACCACCAGCGAAGGTATTCAATGCTAACGATCCTGTCACCGGACGAAGGGGGTTCCGGTTCCGCAATACTCCAGCGACATTAGCGATGGGGGCACGTTTCAACCGGCGTGGCGCAGCGGGCTGGCATGCTCCATTTAGATCGCTTGAATATGGCTTGTCATTATGCACAAATTTCGATAACAAAGTTGCAATGCAAATGGTGTTCGAAAATTTCCTGATTTCTTTTTTCTTTTGAATTACCCGTTATAGACTGCTTATTCTCTTTATAACTTTCGCGAACTAAAACTCCAATTACAGCTACAACGTTTCAAGAAGAGCGAACGAAAACCAAGTTGATTTAATCGAATTTATTCAATGGAGTATAATGATACGGACAGAGAGTAACGAGATGATCGTGGTTTGAGGACTTGTGAGACACGATGGAAAATGTTGCGAATGAAAATAAGAAAAGAAAATAATCGTACCGTTGAACATTGTTATTCCCGTTGTTAATGTACATGTGACATAATGTACGAAAAATTATGTGTGTCCGTAACTTTACCGGTAAGCCACATCAATTCGGAGCGTATCGAAATATCGCGATATAATATATTAATGAAGCCATCGGAAGTGCTTACATTATACGTATACATAATCAATACAGTATCCTGTCCCCGAGTGTCACTGACACATTTCCTATCCAGTGAGGTCTGATAACTTTAAAAAAAAATGTAATACTTAATAGACGATACAAGTACGTTTTCAGCGTTTTCAACCTTTTCAATTCGCAACATATTAAATAATGAGCAAAATTTGAGATACACATACTTCAGTGCTCGGCATAGATCTTTCATCAGATACTGCCAACACGACATTCAGAAGTAAAACGTAAACTTTTAAAATTTTTATTTTTTATTTTATCATATTATTGAATATTATCGTTTTGATTAAAATAAGAGTAAACACAATATATTATAATTTAAATAATTTTCACAATTTTTAAAATATTTTTTACTTCAATCACTTGCTTATTTCTAGATTTTTTCTTTCTACTTATTTTCTATCTTCTCAAAAATTTTCACGATGCATTTAGAAATCTATTGCGATACCGACTGAACTTCCATTGAATCTTGATCTGGTAAAAAATTCTAATTAATCGTTTCAACTTTCTTAAAATACATAATAGAATTGTGCTAGACAAATCAAAAAAGAAAGAAAAACAAGAAAAAAGATAATAAAACTCATATTTCTTCGAGAGAAAGATTGCCAACACAGATTAAACAACAAGCAAGATAAAATATGTATTGTAGTATTTCCGGTAAACGATATTGCGATAGGAGTAAAGAGGCAGAAAGATTCCCAACGTAATTATCGCAAGAACGGGTAGGGAAATATCAGCAGAATTTAATCGTTTCAGCAGCAATCTCCCTTGAGAATGTAATTCCCATTGCGCTGAAAATATAGGTAGGTGTGTATCGAAACGAGAGAAAAAAAAAGAATTAACAACTCGGCTATTAAGATCTCTGCGTGATGCACTGCATATCCACAGAGTGCATTTCCACGAGGAGATGCACGCGGAACGCGGATTTTAAAGCGTCGAAATGGAAATCCAAACGTTTTACTCGAAAGATCGCATTAGTGCATTCACCGTTATGGCAAGAGTGCAATTACCTCCCCCGGCTGCAGAAACTAAAATAAAGCCTGGCTCGTGAAACAATAAGGATGATTCCGCAATGATAATGCGGATTAATAATTAATGGACTCGCGGTAGCCGAACAACAAAAGTTCGCGTTGTGAGGACAGAGCCGCCATGTGACCCTATATAATTTACCGTATATATAACGAGGTCTGCAGTGCGGGTAATGCGCAGAATGCATAAAGACACAATCGTACTGTAAGACAGAAAAAAGCGAATGAAATGAACGACTTAATATCTATTTACGATACTCTGTTGTTTTTCAAGAAGAAATCAAATCATTTTTTTTTTATTCGGAATATCAGAGGAGTATCGGAAACAGAATTGCGTAACTGCAGACTTCCATTTCTGCGTTATAACAACATGATACGGTTTCCATAACTAAACGCTCATAAAATTTCCCCTTGATGAAATAAAATGTTGCAAATTATGTCGAACGTTACCGATTCCCGACACAATGATAAAATAAGGTCTTCACTAAATTGCTTTCATATGTCACATTACTACTAACGCTAAGAGATTTTTTAATTTATAACGGAAACTAGATAAATACGTTAACTAGAACACATAATGTAAGATATGGAAATCATGGATTGCTGATTGGTATTGCCAATGCGTTTTCAATTGAACATCCGCCATTTTGCAAGGAAAGTTGCTGCGCGTGAGCATTAATAATAATTTGACATTAATAGCGTGATATACAATGTGCGTGGAAAACGCACAATCAGCGCATGACGTAGCGTAACATTTAATGTACGTGTGAATGCTTTGGAAAACTTGTAAAATGATCACCGATCTTTAATTGAATACGGAATTTTTGGAATAGGGACTAAAATATCAGCAATCAATTGTAATATATATATCAATAACTTTAATATATTTGCTTTTGTTGCAGTCTAGATTGTATTATACATATACAAATGAAATCTATCATATCGTGAGTAAATACACATATGTATCTCATTTGCCGAAGTTTCATGTATTTCAATATAGATACAGAATATCTTGCAACCACTGCACATAATACTTTAATAGCATGTTCTGACGATTAATTAGAGTTGAAAATTCAAACACGGAAATGTCGAGGTCGCTACAATTTCCGAGTTATAAGCACTTAAAGGTAGTCGATCTACATATCTCATAAAACTCGCGCGATCTGATCCGTAATTGCAATTACGCATACCAATCTATCGTCTTTCTTATAGTTCAAGTAATACTGATTTTAGATGATTTTGTCTTTTAGGATGTAATGCACAGGGCTTATAGCAATTAGTTAATATTGATAAATTAAATATTAATTTAAAAATCTGAGCTATTACATGCCAGTTATATTTATTATTATATTTAATCCAAAGTTTCCCATTAATATTAATTTGTCTTTAAAATCTATTAAATATATTTTTTAATTTAATAATCTATTAAATATATTTTTTAATTAATGTTCTTGAAAAATTATATTAACAAAAATTATTTCATATACATATGTAACCTGTTAAATATTAAATGTAAATAAACATTTTTATATATTATATCCGAAATCCGTTATTATTAGGAGAGAGAGAGAAAGAAAGAGAGAGAGAGAGAGAAGGAAAAAGAGTAAACAAGCAAGAAATTACTTTATATATTTTATATAATATAATAGGATGCTCTAATATTAATTAAATTTAGTATTTATATTAAAATGTAATAAATATATTTTTCAGTATCTATCTATAACCTCAAATATTTTTTTTAAATTAATTGTTATTTATTAATTTTATACTAAAATAACATATTATATTATATCCTCATATTTTCAATTCTTGAATTTCTAAAAATTTAATTGTTTAGTGACAAGTTTAGTAACAAGTGTAAGGAATAATATTATCATTCTTTATTGGACAATAAATTTCTCTTTTAATTTCTCTTTTACAAGAATCGCTTTATCATTATATGTCACTTTTTATCGAGATATTCTATCTATAAAATATGTCCCATAATTTTTCTCATTTATATTTGCAATTTTATCCTATAATAGTTCAAGCGATTGATATATTTCACAATTAGTATTCTGTCAAATAATAAGATAGAAAAATGTGCCCACATAACTAATGCAACGATATAATAAGATCTATTGTATAAACTTTGTACATACGTGTGATCGTCGCATGCGCAACACATTGATAGATAATTGCATTGTTTCAGGATTAAATATTTATTATATTCATTAATCCCAATGTATTCCAACCAATCCATTTTATAGGCAATAAATCTGAAATATTACATTTGTTTGCATTATTGTTACGCTATTAACTCGATACACTCATAAATCTCCATACAGTTTACGCATATGATAGGTACAATTTTGACAGCTCCATTACCTCAGATTAAATAAAAGATAATTTATCACCCACTGACAACGATGTGCAACAGCAGAGTTATAATATCAACTATGTTGAACTGTAAAATGCAAATATGTCTAAATTATAGCGGAACGCCCAAAATAATTAATATTTCAAGAAATAATTGCTTCGTGCATCAAATAACCACAAACGATTAATTCTCCAAACAATAGATAAAATAATAAATTACTCCACCGTTGCTTTCGTACTTCCACTCGTCCTCCTCCTCCTCCTACTCCTCTCATGTTGCCTTCGTTGCACAACATTCACTCGCGGAAACACCGTTATGATTACACGCAAATTAATTAGGAGAGCACACTGATCGATGCGGTATTTTGAAAACGGCACTCTCGATATTAACCACAAACGACGCACATTTTCGCAAATATCGAAGAATATTGCGAGAAAAGTAAAATCATGCAATTCAATTCGTGAGAATTTAACTTGTCCGATGTTGTTCGATATAATGCCATATATACAACAAAGTTGAATCATTAATGGCTGATTAAAAGGTAATAAATCGCCGCGATAAACATACAATCGAAATTCGGTATTGCATGCTTAATACGTTTCAAATGTACAAATCCCGCGAATGCACGAAATATTATTAATGAACGGTCGATATATACATTACGGGCGAGAGAGAGAGAGAGAGAGAGAGAGAGGAGGGGGGGATACAATAATGTTACTTGAATCATATGATCTGATAATTCATGCGCATTATCTTGCGATTTCGATTCGAAAACGATAGGCAAATTACATTTAAATCGATATGAGAAATTGTAAGCGCGACATGAGGTATATTT